GAAGGATGTGCAGCTATGACATACAACTATCTACTGGGGCTTTGGGGAAAAAAAATAAATAAATAAATAAAAATTAAAATGAACACATTGTTTAAAATATGTATGTATGTGTGGGTGTGTGTGAGTGTGGGTGTGTGGGGGTGGTGTGCGTGTGTGTGTGTGTGTGTGTGTGTGTGTACCCATATTGCTGGATTTCTAAAACCTATTCAGAAGCCTGTCATGGACCATTGGCCTGTTACCAAAATAAACACTTAGGTGGGAATCAGCCGGGGAAACAGTCCTAAAGAAGTGTTTAAGGTAGGGGTTGTTGAAGAAAAGCAGCAATCCATAACACTCTCCCTCCCAAAAATGAACTACAAAAGGTCCAAGGCAATATGAGAGAAATATATCCTCTATTTTTTACTTAATCATTATAGCTACTTTCCAGAACCTAAGTAAATCCAAACAACCCACTAAGTGAGCACCTATTTTGCTAAGAATTGGAGCTAAAATATTAAATAACACACAGGCTCTGCCCTTTATGAGCTCACAATCTAGCCCAAAAAATAAAGAAAAAGATCACGTTTCAAATATGACCAATACACAACCTAAGGATACAGGATAATTTTGAAGTCTTCCCTTTTACCATTCTCATACAACTGTGAGCAACGTTGGATCCTCCTGTACAGGAAGCAACTATTTTCCTGCCCAGATATTGCAACAATTATAGGAAGCTTACAGTAACCCCCATGACACAGGGACCAGTCATCCAAGTGCTCTGTGGCAGCTTAATGGGTCTTCTATTGGAAAGGAGGCCAATTCAGTAGTAATGCGCCCAGCACTAACGGGTGAAGAGAGAAATGCTAAAGCAGGCTGAGAGAAATATACTATCCATCTGACTCATAATGAGAGCTGAGGGCACAAAACAAAAAACTAACCCCAAAAACTAGATGGACCAGCAAAATGGGCAGAATTCCCCTATGACTTCTGCTTCAGTCTAGACAAATTGGAACTCAAGAAATTATAGTAAGAAGCTATTTCTGAAAACATCAGAAGCTACAGGAAGTAACAAGTACTCGAGTCACTTAGCAAACATTTATCGAGCACCTCTAAGTTGTACAAGGCACTCATTCAATAAATAATAAAAACCAAAATAGTTAAGAATCAAGTATCAAAAGTAATTTTTATAGAAATAGAAAGGCATCCAAATTAGATGTTATGTGAGGATTACTAACTCTTCTTACTCCTTTTCTCCTCACTGAGTTGCCATGTAAATCATGTAGTATCTGTCACATTTCTTCATCTTTTTTTTTTTTTTTTTTGTGAGGAGATCAGCCCTGTGCTAACATCTGCCAATCCTCCTCTTCTTTTGCCGAGGAAGATCGGCCCTGGGCTAACATTCACGCCCATCTTCCTCCACTTTATATGGGATGCCGCCACAGCATGGCTTGCCAAGCAGTGCGTCGGTGAACGCCCGGGACCGGCAAACCCCGGGCCACTGCAGCAGAGCACGCACACTTAACTGCTTGAGCCGCCGGTCCGGCCCCATATTTCTTCATCTTTAACAGTAAGGGCCTCCAACCTAAATGTTCTCACCAAAAAATAAAAAGATAAATATGTGAGGTGATGGTAATGGATGTGTTAACTAGATGAGAGGAATCCTTTCACAATATATATGGATATCAAATCATCATGACATACACTTTAAATATCTTACAATTTTATTTGTCAATTATACCTCAACAAAGCCAGAGGGAGAAAAAAAAAGGAATGGTCTCCTAAACGACTAAGTCTCCCTCTAAATGGCAGTAGACATTTTATCCCTGCTGTGCACCAAACTGTCCTTTCATTTATAGCTGCTGAGACAGAGGACTGAGATATTTTTCTACATGTAACTTTTTCAAAGAGGTCTGTCACTATCCTACCAACACTTGGGATAATGTATCTACACCTGAGATCAATTCAGCAAGGAAATGAATGATTTATTCTATGACCTTAGGTGTAACACCCTACAACATACCTAACGTTGCCAATTATTATAAAAACAATTGTTTAATCAGCACATTGTTACCTACTGGAACAGTGGACAACTAAACTGGTTCATATGCTAAATCAGGAAGTCGGGCAGACCAGAGTCAGAGGACTGTGCCTTCCCTTGTGCAACCTAGACATCACTATGGTTCTTGACTTTTTGGTTCCACTTTAACCCTTGTATGTAATAATTTGGCCTCAGATTGATGCAGTAGACAATTTTAGCTCCATATCCATCTCACTTAGGCCGCCATCTCAACTACCTCGAATCCCAGTTTAAAGCAGGAAACAAAAATATTTTCAAGAGTAATCAAAAGAAGAGAAACATAGGAATATATCTTCACAGAGAAGTTTTATAGCATTCAAAAATTATTTAGGGCCGGCCCCGTGGCTTAGCGGTTAAGTGCGCGTGCTCCGCTGCTGGCGGCCCGGGTTCGGATCCTGGGAGCGCACCGATGCACCGCTTCTCCGGCCATGCTGAGGCCACGTCCCACATACAGCAACTAGAAGGCTGTGCAACTATGACATACAACTATCTACTGAGGCTTTGGGGGAAAAAAAATAAAATAAATAAAAATTTAAAAAAAGAGAAAATTAAAAAAAAAAAAAAAAGTATTTATATGTTCCTCAAGCCCTAAATCAAAAACTACTTATTTTCATTTTAAACATAAGTCCAACCATTTTGGTCTGGTTTCTCAGTCCAACAGAATTATAAGAAATGAAACACAGCAGTAGAGGTAGACACAGAGATGTGATATCTGAAATTCTTGACGAAAAAGGAGACAGAAACCCATAAAAAGTATAGTAGGTTTTAAAACAGCACACAGTAACATAATGATGTTCATAATGATGACCAGAGTTACCAGGAAAAGGCAAAAATATATGGACATTTTGGAAATACTACTTTTATAATGGGAAAAAACTTATTAAAAAAAAAACTTTAAAAGAGGCCTAGAGGGCCGGCCCCGTGGCTTGGTGGTTGAGTGAGCGCGCTCCACTGCTGGC